TGAGTCTGTCCGTGGGTCGAGACTTAGCCAATTTTTTTGAGCTTGGCTGAGGAGGGGTTGCAGTGGTGAACCACGGACCACCAGCACGGGCCATGGTCTGACCTACGGTCCGTGGATGGCAACCGTGCGTTGCACCTGCAACTTCTCAAAATCTGCATTTTTGGTCCGTTTCGGATACGGGGTGTTACAAAAGGCAAGGAAAAATCTGGCATAGCAAGTACTGGGGCAGAAATCAAAACTTGTTTCAGTGTTTCAAAAGTTGTAGTCGCATCACCTGTCCACACAAATCCTTCCTTCTTTAATAAGTCATGCAATGGTCTACATATACTTCCAAACCCTTGGATAAATCTCCTGTAGTGTCCTGCAAGCCCCAAGAATCCTCTCAATAGTTTGATATTAGTTGGTATCGGCCAATGTTGCACAATTGTAATCTTTTTGGGATCAGTTGACACCCCCTCAACACTAATAAAATGCCCCAGATATTCTACCTTATCTACTGCAAAAGCACACTTTGACATCTTTGCATACAACTGATATTGTTTCATCAAATCAAATACAACTTCCACATGAACTAAATGAGCATTAATATCTTTGCTATAAATCAGAATATCATCAAAGAATACCAATACTGATTTCCTCAACAATGATATAAAGACTGCATTCATCAAACTCTGAAATGATGAAGGTGCATTGGTTAAGCCAAAAGGCATAACCAAAAATTCATAGTGCCCTTTATGAGTTTTAAAAGCTGTTTTGTAAGCATCATCTTCAGCCATTCTTAATTGATGATAACCTGCCCTTAGATCAATTTTAGAAAAAATCACAGCTCCACCTAACTCATCCAGCAAGTCTTCAATGATAGGTATCGGAAACTTATCCTTAATTGTCATCTGATTCAAATCTCTGTAATCAACACAGAGTCTCCAACTTCCATCTTTCTTCCCAACTAACACTATTGGAGAAGCATAAGGGCTAGTACTATGTTGCACCACACCTTGATCTAACATCTCTTGTACTAATTTTTCAATGACATTTTTTTTTATTCCCGAATACCTATAGGGTCTCTTGTTAACAGGATTTGCTTTGTCAATGAGGGGAATTCTATGATCAAAAGAACCTCTGTGAGGTGGTAATGTAGTTGGCAATTCAAATAAGCAGGAGTACTGACTAATTAGTGCAGCAAATGATGGCAAAATTCCCTCACCTTGAATGTTGTGACACTGCGAGACTTTTACTGTCTGAGGTACATGTGACAACATGAACAACTGCCCCTTCTTAGCTAAGGTCTTAGCTTTAACTGACTTCAGACCAGTGCTAGCCCCTCTTAATACATGTTTTTTCCCTTGTAAACAAACTCAATGGACCTATGTTGAACATCAAACAAAATTCTGCCCAACGTATTCAACCATTGTACTCCTAAGACTATATCCACATTTTCCAATGGTAAAAGCAAAAAATCAGAAGAGAATGTGGTGCCCTGCAGTAGCCAGTGAAGATTCTTGCAAATAGCAGTGTTTTGCACTTCTCTACCATCAGCCACACTTATAGATTGTTCCTGAATAGAGCTAGTCTGACAAACCAACTTTGCAGCCACTTGTTTATCTATAAAGTTGTGAGTGCTCCCAGTATCAATCAAGTACTTGCAGTGGTGTTTTCATGGTATCCTGTTACTCTTATGGTTTGGTAACCAGTGACCCCTCTAAAAGCGCCTGTAATGATATAGCCATAAATTCATCCGTCTTCTCCCACTACATCTTCTATCTGTTCCTCTTCTACTTCAACATTTAATTCTTCTTCCTCAACTACTTCTACCAGATATAGTTGCTTCTTTCCCTTGTAGTTATGTCCTTTCACATATTTTTCATCACAAAAGAAACACAACCCTTTGGATCTCCTTTCATCCATCTCTGCTGCCGATAGCCTTTTAGTAACACCATTATTACGGAATCTATTAATCCTATTAGGTGCAGATTCAAGGGTTTTCGCGAATGTGGAATTGGAATAAGAATTTCTTTGGGAATACTGAGGTTTAATACGGGCAGGAGTGGGTAATATAGGACCTTGGACTTTAGGAAAATATTTGATTCCCCAAGATTGAGCTTGAGCTTCAAACACCTCCTCTTGCAACCTAGCTACCTTATAGGCTTGCAACAAAGTTTTTGGAGCATGTATTCTAATAGACTTGTTCAACTCCCTCTTCAGACCTCTCAAAAAACAACTAATGACATTTTCATTGGAGAGATTAAGTCCAGTTAATAACCTATCAAACTCAGCCTGATACTCCCTCACACTACTGGTTTGTTGTAAGTTCTTTAGGGCTTCCATGGGATCTTCAAAACCCTCTCGGAACCTTTCATTCAATGCTAACACAAATTCAATCCAAGATGGATCTAAAACCGAGTTTCTAGACCTAAGGTAGGACCTGTGCCATGCCATAGCTTCACCTTCAAAGTGGATAAAAGCCACCTTCACCCTCTGCTCAAAAGGTATTTCATCCATGGAGAAGAATTGATCAACTTTGTACAACCAATTTCTTAACTCACCACCAGAAAAACGAGGGAACTCTAATCTAGAGTAACGATTGAAAAACGTACTATTGTAGTTAGGATCATTACCAGTATGCATATCATTGAATCGAGCTCCTTATGGCGTTTCTCCTAAACAATCTCGACCAGAATTAGATTCTGCCCTAGCTGGATCCTTTTATTTCCCCTTCTGATTCAAATACCCAATTGCTTCCCTGATTTCTAGCAATTCCTTATCAGCCTGTGAATTGCGATCGTTCATACTAGACATCCCTTCCATCAATTTCTGTAACTGGGTCTGAATCTGGTGAAGCTTGTCCTCTGTTTCCTCTTGACCTTTGTTGCGCGTCATCAGATCAATGCTCAGAGAAGAAACAAATTCCAGGAGTAATCTCGAGGAATATGAACAGCTAGTTCAAGGATTAAACCCGAGAATTCAGCTAGAGAGAAAATTGTAGAGAGAAGAAAACAATCTTATTATCAATGAATGAATGAATGTCAATGATCTAATACAATCCTTTTATAGGCTCCTAGAGATTGCTAAAACAGTTAAAATCCACAGGTACAGTAGTAACAGAATTTAACCATCTAACAGTGCTAACTGTTCTAACTAACTTCTGGACTTGTTAACAGAATTTTCCACATCAGCGATTAGTTATTGATTAGTTCTCCTTTTGCTAACTTGTATCAGTGATCTCCCTAAAGACGTCTTTCTAAACATCCTGAATCTATCATCTACCGAGTCTATTACCTCATATTCAAAAATAGAAAAACACAAAAGTTCGGCATACATATAAGGTCCTGCTTCACATATTAGCACGAGAGACTTTGCAACGTTACTGATATCAACTCACAACCTAATCAGAACTGAAGACAATAACATCACAGGAACAATATAACAATTAGTCGTGCTGCAACATTGTTCTATATAATCTGTCAAAGACAAAATACATGGCAATGACAAGCAAAACTCAAGATTCAACAGACAGATATAACATATTAATAATTAACAACAACTACATCTCTATTTCAAACAAGTTAGGATTGGCTATATGAATTGTCATTGACTACCTTACTCCATTTAAACTCATCATGTATAATTTCTGAACATTGAAATATGGCCAAACGCCCACACTATTGTTTCCAGATCAATATTCTGAAACTCTATAACCACAAAAGAGAACATGCCCCAAAGGAACACTAAGCAATATGGTATCCCAAAATCCTGGCCGTCAAAATGAACATCAGCCCACAGAAATTAAACTCAAAACTAAATTTATAACCTTAATTATCACTTTAAACAATAGTAATAAGAAAAAAAAACAATTTAGGAAATACAAGAAAAAGGCTCTCATTTGAGCTTAATTACAAAGTGAAAAAGGAATGATCTTGTTACCTTTTTCTTAGGAACAGCCATTAGCTCCATAGACCCTCCAAGAAAAGGTGAATTTGGGACCATAAATCCTATGTTGTTGTTGTTGTTGTTGTCATGTTCAGGTAAAACCAACGATGGTGATGCAGCTGTCTGGAGATAAATGGTGCTATCAAGTGGTGGTGGTATGGATATTGCGTGAGAAAATCTTCGAAGGCCGTTGATGAAATTGGGGATGCTTCTAAGCTTGGCTACTGTAGACGCCATTTTTGACAGGATGAAGTGACTGAGGTAGGAGAAGGTTGAACTTGAGTTAGAGGCCCATATGGGCAATGAATAGTGGGCTTGAACTATTTAAAAGTTGGGCTTGTGTTGTTGCTGCTAAGCCTGACTTGACACCCAAAACTATTTGCAATAATCTTAGTAATAGTATCTAGTGTTATTTAGTGGCACCTGAGAATGATTAGATACAGCAGAATGAATTTATAGAGATGGAAATAGGAGAACATTTTTTCAAGAAAAAGACAGTGGGATAGGATAATTGAGGCGCAAAATGAAAGGCCAAAAGGAGGAAAAGCCAAACTCAAAATAATCCTTTTGATTTGATTTGCAGTATAAAATCCCTTAGCTGTATGTAAATATGTAATCCATGGCTATTCAAACTCCATTACTCATAGTAGGTCCTTTGTCTTGCCAAGAAATCACCAAAAAAAATTCAAGAAAAGACACATTTACACCAATTGACCCTCTTGCTCTTGTACCCAAATGCAAATCTTTAAGAGACCTCAAGCAAATTCAAGCCTTTTCTATAAAAACCCAAATGCAAAATGATATCTTTTTTATGAGTAAGCTCATAAATTTTTGCACAAAAAATCCAACACCTGCATTTATGTACCATGCTCACCTCCTGTTTGATAAAATTCCACAACCAAATATAGTCCTTTTTAACTTCTTGGCCCATGGTTATGCTCGTAGTGACACCCCATTAAATGCTTTTGTTCTGTTTTTGAAAATTCTAACATTGGGTGTTGTCCCTGATTTTTATACATTTCCTTCTTTGTTGAAGGCATGTGCAGGTGCTGAAGCTCTGGAAGAAGGTAAGCAGTTGCATTGTCTTTTGATTAAATATGGCCTTAAAGGTGATATGTATGTTTGTCCTGCACTTATGAATATGTACATTGAGTGTAAGGACAATGGTTCAGCTCGTCGTGTGTTTGATAGGATAGCTGACCCTTGTGTGGTAACGTATAATGCGATCATAATGGGTTACGTGAGAAGTAGCGAGCCAAATAAGGCTCTTTTGCTGTTTCGTGAATTGCAAGTGAAAAAAATTAAGCCTTCTGATGTTACAATTCTAGGTGTTGTTTCATCATGTGCTTTGTTGGGAACATTGGGATTTGGAAAATGGGTGCATGAATATGTTAAGAAGAATGGTTTTGATCAATATGTTAAGGTGAACACAGCACTAATTGATATGTATGCAAAGTGTGGGAGCTTGGCTGATGCGATTTCTGTTTTTGAGAGCATGCGTAATAGGGACACTCAAGCATGGTCAGCAATGATCATGGCTTATGCTATTCATGGGCGTGCTCGTTGTGCAATAACTTTGTTTCAAGAGATGCAGAACACTCAAGTTAATCCTGATGGAATTACATTTTTGGGCCTACTCTATGCCTGCAACCACAGTGGATTGATTGAAGAGGGTTTTAGATTTTTCAATAGCATGAAAGAAAATTACATGATTGTACCAGGGGTGAAACACTATGGATGCCTGTTGGATTCGTTAGCTCGGGCTGGCCGCCTTACTGATGCTTTTAAGTTCTTAACAGAATTGCCAATTCCGCCTACACTTTTACTTTGGCGGACATTGTTAGCTGCTTGCAGCATCCATGGAAATGTGGATTTGGGGAAGCTGGTACTTCAGAGAATCTTTGAACTGGACAAATCACATAGTGGCGATTATGTGATCTTTTCAAACATGTGTGCACGAGCTGGGAAGTGGGAAGAAGTGAATTACATCTGGAAATTGATGAAAGAAAGAGGGATTAAAAAAATTCCTGGATGTAGTTCGGTAGAGGTTAACAATGTACTACATGAATTCTTCTCTGGGGAGGTTATGCATATTGAGCACAGGGAACTGCACCAGGAAGTTGACAAGTTAATCGAGAAATTGAAATTGGTTGGTTATGTTCCTGATACATCTATAGCTTTTCGTCCCGGCCTAAAAGATGAAGATAAAGAAGCTACTTTGAGGTACCACAGTGAAAAATTGGCAATTACTTTTGGTCTTCTTAATAGTCCACCCGGAAAAACAATCCGTGTTGTTAAGAACCTTAGAATCTGTGGGGATTGCCATTCAGCTGCAAAATTCATATCACTTATCTTTAAACGAAATATTATTATTCGAGATTTGCATAGATTTCATCATTTTGAAGGTGGAAATTGTTCTTGTGGGGATTTTTGGTGACAAATGATAGATATGCACTCTTGCGAGAGGAAACCTTTACCACGTTCACATTAATGAGTTTCGTCAATTTTGAAGGTGGAAAAAGTTATATTGGGTAGTTTTGGTTACATGATTGATGGAATGCACACTAGCGAGACCAAGCCTATACCAGCTTAACACCAACTGGAGACAATGCAGAATTTTCTTGTGATAATTGGGTATTCTCATCAGTCATCATAATAGTTTATGGTTCAGATTTGTTTTGCTAGTGAATGCTGGTGAAAAGCAAACCCGAGGTTAGAAAATAAGCAGGTTTCTTATCCTTCTCTATAATATTACATTCAGTTCAGTTTCTTTAATTTTTGTAATACATAAATTAAAGATGAAGCTACAACTTTCTTAAATCAACTGTAGTACTAAACAGCACTAATTCAAGAAGACAACCTAAAATTTGATACATTATCCCTGTTTTGAGTAAAATGAAATTTTTCTACAACTAACATCCTTGAAATCTTTTTTTTTTTTTTCATTTTGTTATAGTTATATAGTTTCCATAATTTTCCAATTGAAGGCCTAATTGAGTTCCCTAGATGGGATCATTATACTTGCATGGACCATGTTTTTCTTTTAACTAATAATGTTTAATGAAAAGAGAGGACAACAAAACTTGTAGTACATTAATCTGCTTGGTGAAATTCTGACCACTAGCCATCAGTTAGACTTTATGAACTACCATACAGTTTCCTAATACATGTGGTATCACTCATAGGATATTCATAACTCTTCTTAGCATGCTTCCGACACTTCTCTGTGATTGAGAGTCAAATCAAGAATGGCTTCATGTGGCACATGCTCACTGTCCAGATAAACCTGTCAGAGGGACGTAGCCGTGTGTTTTCCACATGATTGTACTCTTTTGGCATGACAAGAACTTAAGCAGAGTTTGGTGATTCTTTCCATCCGCACACTGGTAGTCCTGATGATTTGTGTTGTACATACATATATATGTGTATAAAGCTCTAGACGGCAAACACCATCTTCAACTCCAATAGCAACCATATATGCACACAAGGATAGGATACTACCGTCCTATGCTGATCAAGATTATTGTAGTAAAATGTTTGTTTGATCTCTGTGTCGCACAGAATTTTGATTTTTTTCTTACTTTGTTCAGCAGGCGAGTCCTCCTTTTATCGCTAGTTCCTCATAGAATATGATATTATTACTCCTGGAGTGTTTTTAGGTAAAAATTATTGGAGTCTCCCTAGATTTGAACTTTCTAACTTTAAGGTTATGTTTGTTCTCAGTGGCCACCAGCACTATGTGATCAAAAGCGAAGTTGTTGTTATCCAACTACTGGAAAGCCAACACTTGACTTTGGCGTTCATAGACTTTGGCCAAATTACCACGATGGCTCCTATCCATCAAGTTGTGATAACACAAACCTCTATGATGAGACAGAGGTAAGCTCAAATTGCGATTTTACATATTATATTACGATGCTCTTTTGTACCTCTGGCACACTGGCATTTTCTTGTGAACATAGTTAATTTTGTCGACATAGTTTCTCAAGCAAGTTTCTACCAGTGAAGTTCCTTTTTATGATTCTTATGAGTTATGAGAATGCATTATTGTGTTTGAAGGGAGGGCCTCTACATTAATGTATCCTGCACAGATGAAAACCAGTTATATATAGGTCGGAAGACTGGTCATTTGGAGATCTGGATACTAACTCTGCACATGAAAATTTACGTTGGTGCAGATCAAAGACCTGATAAGTAGCATGCAAGAGAACTGGCCAACGCTAGCCTGTCCAAGAAATAAGGGAACAAAATTCTGATCACACGAATGGGACAAACATGGTACCTGTTCCCTTTCTACTCTAGATGAGCATTCTAAATTCAAATCAGCTCTGACCATTAAGGAGAAGGTGAATCTTCTTTCTGTTCTTAAGGATGCAAGTACTTATAGTTATCGTCCAGTCCAGCATCAAATTATTCTATTAAGTCTCAAAACAAACACGTAGCAGGAATTGAGCCAGGAGGCTTTTACAGCTTGGAAGTGATCAAGGAAGCTGTAAAGAATGGAACTGGACATGAAGCAGCAATAGAATGCAATAAGGATGCACTTGGTAACAACTAACAACAAACTTTACCAGGTTTTTCTTTGTGTTGATAAGTATGGTACAGACCTCATCAATTGTCCAATACTCCCCCAAAGGAAATGCAATGAAACTATTGAGTTCGCAACCTTTGGTCCAGATGCCTTCGTCGAGGAGGGATCTTTCTTCACTCTTTCTCTAGAGAGTGATCAATCTTCAACCTACTAGGCCTTCTCTTTCCCATGTTGCATTGGGCCTTCTTATGAAATAATTTTTCCTACTCATAGAATTTCCATGCATTTCCATTGAAGTTAATAGAGATTTAGCAGAAGCAACTTTGTGCAACTTATTTTGCTACACTTGTAATTGAACTCCCAGTTATTCACTCCAATTATCAAGAAAAATTGGGTTCACTCTCTTTCTTATCTTGTTTGAAAGTCCATATTTGAGTGTTTAATTTGTCCATCAATCCAATATTCTTTGGATCAGCAGATTTCTTTTGGACAATCATTGTCAAACTAACCACATTGGCTATGAAAAAAGAGCGAAGCTTCTTACCAATTCATAGGCCTATTCAACTTTTGATGATAACACGAAGTGGATGTGACATTTTACCGTCACAAATAGCCACTTTTCAGTTCCTATAAATGAAAAGCAGCCGCTGTCATGGAGTTTAAATTCCAGAGATGAAACTCCAGGACATTATCATGAAGTCTTTCCTGTAGGATCTGGCATCTAAGGTGTCTAGAATTTCTCTCAAAAGTAAGTAGGAGTGCTCTTCCTTTTAAGCCCTTTTCCTTACGGTTCTATAGACCTTACCTCACCAATCTTTTATTTTCTCTCGGGATTTAATTCAAGTTGTTGTCTCAGTAGTTGCATTCTTTCTAGTCCCCTTGAAAGAGGAAAGGGGCCTAAGTCTGTTTCATTCCATCTCCTCGAGTTTCAATTGGAATGCTAGCGGTCAGAGTCCCAAGGTAATTTGAAACTCCACGACAATAGTTATTTTTCAATTACATTACCGAGAGTGGCCTACCTTGCAGTTTTTCATGTTTACTTGTTTTAACGATGACGTGGTTTGGCGGATTATAAATTTTTGCCCCCTAGCCCCAACAACCATAAACTCCCTACTGGATTGGAGTCATGAACATAAAACAAGATTGAAACTAATGGCTGGCTGACATAATATGAGTGCTATAATCACTTTGTATGTACCTCTTTGTTAGAAAGCCTACTATTTGATCTGCATTTTGAAATAGTCGCAGAGTGTCAAATGCCATCTTAAATAATTGGTTATCTATAAGGAACACAAAGTTCTGGTTTTATTTACTAACTTACTAAAACAAACATTGGATATAAGAGTTTAATTTGTTCCTAAGTTTGGCATCGTTAAGACATAGGTTGCTGCTGGACATTGCTAGCTAAAGTAGCCAGAAAAAAAAAGATCTAGGATTTGAAGTTTATGGGTTCCTACGGCGACCTCAAGTTAGTATAGTATAATAACCCGGTTCACATTCAAATATTTCTTGATATTTTACAAAGCGGGCCGGGTGGAGTTACAATATTAGGTACGGGTTGAGACAAACCCAATAGTTTTTGCTTAGATCATGTATTTATGTTAGAACTTCATTAAATATGTATTATGAATTTAATTGTGAACCTAACTAAAACGAGCTACAGATACATATGGTCCTATCTCAAAGAACCAGTCATATATCATGTGTAACTTGCTCTCCTCTTGCAAATTGCAATATAACATCACATCTTTCCTGTTTTTGGAATGGTGGTCCAGTGAATAAAGGTAAAGGAATACAAAAAGGAATAAAAGGCATAAAATGTACAAGTAGACACTTAAAGCTAAACAAATAAACACATGTGTCCTATGTGGCATAATACACATTGGACACGTGTGTGTACTTGTTCAACTGACGCAAAAAAAAGTGCCAAAAACTAAAAGTAATAAAAATAAGGCTAGCTCATGAATTTCATGTGTTATACCCAACACATTGATGGTATGTTGGGTATGAAGAAAAATATTCTAACTGACATATTTAAGTTTACATGTTTCAAAAGTGTACTCTGTGTCTAATCAAACTAAGACAAACAAATTGAAATGATTCAAGATTCAAGAACAGGGTATTTTCCTTCAACAAATAAAGAGCATGAATAAGCTAATTCAATATTGAAATAAAGAGATTGAAATTCAAGTCACCAATCTGATTCAAAGTTTGTAATGAAATTGAAATTTGAACTACCTACTGATTGCCTCATTTGGCTTGTACTTGTAGATACATTAATTGTACAAATAATAGTTTGCACAATTTAATGTACTAGAGTGATTTTTGTAGGTGTTGTACATTTTTCAGTATGAAGCATCAACGTGAGACTTGAGCGGGAAAATCATCAATCTCATCTGTCCACGCGTTCTTTTCTTTGACTGGATTGACTGTCCTGAGGGCGCGCCAAACAGCACTATTACATTTGAATCCTGATCCAAATCCTATTTGCCACGCTCTATCGCCCTTCTTAATCCTCCCTTTAGCCTCGGAATAGGCCAAATTGTACCACACTGAGCTACTTGAAGTGTTCCCAAACCTATACAGAGTCATTCTAGAAGGTTCCATAAGTGCTTCAGAGAGATCAAGATTCTTCTGAAGCTCATCCAACACAGCTCTCCCCCCTGCATGAATGCAGAAATGCTCGAATGCCATCTTGAAATCCGGAATGTATGGTTTGATTTTCCGTTTAAACACGTTCCTTGCAATTAACGAGACGAAAAAGAGGAGCTGCTCGGACATTGGCAAGACTAGTGGGCCTAAAGTTGTGATGTTGGTTTTTAAGGCCTCACCAGCTACTGCCATTAGGTCCTTTGACAATGACATGCCTTTTTTCCCATCCTCTTCCTCATCTTGAAATACGCAACTGAATGCTCTGTCGTCCGCGCCTTTATGGGTGCGGACGACATGCATCAGTTGATATTTTGACCGCCTTCGGTCGGAAAAACGGTTTGATAGGAGAACAGCGGATGCACCCATCCGGAAAATCATGTTTGGTATTAGCTTTGATTTATCATTCCCAGTATAGAAGGCTGATGAGACTATTTCTGTGCTTACTATAAGTGCATAGCTGTTGGCTTGCCCCTGTTCAATCATTTCAAAACTCAACAATTTTGACCAACATGATATACATTTTCTGCATATTATATGATGATGTTTGATCAAACAATAGAAATTTTTTAACATGTATGATTGTTTGGTACGACTAAAGTTATCTTTCAGAAAATGACTTACTTTCTAAAAATTGATTTGAGAGTGGAATCTATTTATTATTAAAAGTTGATGATGATGTTAATGAATCAAATAGTATTTTGATGGATTTTTAAAGTATTAAAGATTTGATAATAATGTCAAGTATTATTGTGATATGATGTAATTTGATGAAATAATTATGGAGGAGAATGACTTCCATCCAAAAGTGAGAGAAGTCATGTTCAAAAACGTCTTCGTTGGAAAATATCTAATAGCAATCAAACACCAGAAAATAACTAAGAAAAACATTTTAAAGAAAATATTCTTCTTCATATTGAACACACCCCAAAATATAAAAAAATAAAAAAATAAAGATATTGAGCTTTTTGCAAAATGGACTAAAAAAGGAGGGACATACCTTCATAAAAAGTGTTTCTCTATGAAGTAATTAAAGTTTCCATGAGAATTTACAAGAAAATTTACATAATCAGTTCAATTTAACTAGCTATATTTAGAGGTTATTTCTAAATATTTTTTTTTTTACTAATCTTTTTGAAACGTACTAAAAAAATATATCAAGAAAGATGATACACCAACCTGTAAAAGTCTGTTGGCCAAGTCCACAGAAATAAGCCCAGCACTGCAGCCCATGCCTCCAAGATTGTAAGTGATCACATTGACACCAAGCTTATAATGGTTCACAACCATGGCAGAAAGAGAAGGTGTTGGATTAAACATACTAGAATTCACAATAATAAATCCAATATCTCGAATTTTTACTCCGGTTTTCGCCAATAAATCATCGATGGCACCAATAATAACCAATTTCGCTTGATGTTGGTTACTACTAAGGGAAAAATTTGAAGGGATCCACTTATCGACTGGAATATATGTCTTGTCACTTAAACCTGAGTTGTACAAGATTTTCTTTTGAAAGTTCAAACTACTTTCATCAAAAATATCTGTCAGTTTCTCTACTAAACGTTCTTTCGATATCATGTAACGTTCGTGTGGCTTGTAACACGAGAAATCGACTAAGTAAACGTTTCTCGGACGACTCATGAAGTATACCGTGCCCAAAAATACAACAAGAGTTGAATAAGATTTCAACATGACAAGATTTGTCATGAGGTCTTCAAGTGTAAGAGTTGAAAGATGAAGTCCCACAGCAACAAGAATTGGAACAATTACGAGATAAATTGCATTTGAGATTAAGTAATGGTAACCAAGTTTAACATATTTGAGTCTAACAGAGAGAAGAAAATTTGGTAAATTTGATGATTTAATTTCTCCATTAGGAGAATTTTGTGCCATTTTGCTACAAGAAAATTATGAGTAGAACAAGAAAGATTGGAGTATATGATATGATTGTTGAATTTCCAAAATACATCAACATTGGTCAATTTAAAGAGTGTGAAAAAAAAAGAAAAAAAAAAGACCACCTCCCATTACATTAATTAATGTGTCATAAATTGATAATGTAAAGTCAATTTTGTTCATTTAAATTTATCATCTTTCCATTGCCGTAATATTAAATGCAATTAAACACCCAACACATTTTGTATACCCCTACCTATATGGGTCGGAAGAAATTTTCCAACTCGTGATAAGAAGATAGCCAATAAATTATTTTTCTTCTGTTTTATATTACTTGATTCATGTTGAGTATCTGATATATTTTTTAATAACGTTTTAATTAGACATATATTTTACTAAATAATGTTATTAATGATGCTTTTGAAACTCTGAATTGACTATCACTACAACAAAAACAACTTTTAGTGATAAAAAATATACATATTAACAAAGAATGCTAGTCTTTAGACATTAGTTCATTGTCATTGGATCCAATGTCTCTATAGGCTTCAGAAACATTTACAAAGAATGTTAATTAATTATCGCACATATAGTGATAGTTAAGTGCTAAAAACATTTTTAATATAGCGTACCACTATTTTATGTAGTTATTTAATACCAAGTGTAGTATGAAAAAAGACTCTTGAGTTGGTAAGATAAAATGTATATTTATTTTTCGATATAAGGGGCAAGTAATTAAAATGAAACTGATAGAGTAACTGTTTTACTTATAATTAAGAAAGCATAGCGAATTATAAAGTTAAATTTCTTAAATGATCATCCGTATAAGTGTCAAATAAATGGGTTGAAATGGAT